TCTATAGCTAAAGCTTCTCACATATTTTGTCAAATGAAACACAAGACACACACTAGTCGATGAAAAATATCTGGAAAGGTTCTCTGATAGTAGGACCAACTGCTTACAAAATGTCCCAGCAGTTCCCGTCAGCAACTATGAAGAAAACTAAGTTTCCAAACATCTATATAAAGGACATTAAACTGGAGTGAGAGGAACGCTTAATTTCTTCTACTTGGAATAACCTAGAGCAGGGGAAGTGCAGAAGATGCCTCTGCTCATTTCACACAAATATGCTGAAAATGCTGGAGCCTGCAAATCAATGTTAACTGTTCACCACTGCTGTTTACACACTTTTACAGGTAGTTCATCTCCAAATCAATACTGACATCAGGACTAACTGAACAGTACAGATATAGTGAAGGAGTTCGACTTTACATTTGAAAATACTATTTCCAGAGAAGACTATGTTCACTAAGCAAGGAAGGTTTACTCTATGGATATTCAGACTTGCTTTTTAAAACTGTATTTATGAAAACTCTACCCAAATGTTCTAACTACTACAGATGTGCTTGGATATTCAGGAAATTTTATAAGGCACCTATAGTTCTCAAACAACATTCTCCTTGAAGTAACAATTTTTCACACAGTGTCTACATAAAGTAAGTGAAAATTCCCACAAGGTTTTTTTTTTTTTTTTTAATTGTACTTGTCTATACACAAGGTAATTCCATATTGCCTGTAAAACTTTGGTAGCCTACAAAACATGTTTAAATAACTGGGCCCTTATTTTTTAGTGAATTCTGTATTTTAGTATTTTGGTTACACTATTACTTGCTGCAGTAAAAACAGGCTGCAGATGAAGTGTTATAAGCACACACACTGTATGTTCATGCAACTAAGTAATACCATCCTCCTCAAACAAACTGTATCAATCACTAGTGTACCTGGACAATGCACAAATTCTATCCGTACTTCCTTTTCTATGCAAATATTTCAATATGTAGTGGTAGCACACTACTTTTCCAAATTCAGGTTTCAGCAACACCAGAGCTGTCTAAGTTTTTGCAAGTCTGGTAGTTTTAATAAAGAGCACAAACTATACTTGTATGATACGTATAAAGCAAACAATAGCGTCTGCTGCCTGTACATACAATTATGAAGTTCACAGCTAAATTAGTACTGCCATCTGTTTCTGTCCCTGAGCATCAAACAAATATTAGGCACAAGTAATGCAGAAAAGACTATTAGGATACATGATTTTGAAACATCGTTACTTGGGGAATCTGGGAGATGGGCTCAGCATTCAAGAACAGCTGCTTGTAAGTCACACAACTACCTTTACTACTAATAGTTTTCTCTTATCACAGGATTATCATGTGCCAAGTAACTAAAATCTTTATATGGTAAGCTGATATACTGCTAGATATCTTGACATGCAATTACCAAAAAAGCCAGTGGAAGTGACAGAGGGTCCAACACACTGGTGTGCAGCCAATGTCTTCAGAACATTTGGTTTAGGGCCAGAAATCCCAACAATTATGGCCAATATTTCAATAAAATTAAACACAGAAGGATAAGAATCAAATGTGAAGTCATACAGGAATTACTACAAGGCATACTCACAGAGGCCAAAATTATGTTTCATATGCATAATTACTGTAGTATTTTGGAAGCTTTTGAGAGCCTAAAAGATCTTCATACACCACATATGTTTTTAAAAAAAAATAAATAAAAGATATACTTATTCACCAGAAGAATAATATATCCTGTAAGCTAACCATAATTGTTCAAATTTTAAGTATACTGGAATTCACTTATCTTCTAGGTTCCCTGTAATTATTTCAAGCTCATTGTGATACTACTTAGAAATTTTATGTTGTATGTACTAACACCAATATATACTTCACACACTAATGCAACAAAACACCTGAGCCCAAGTAACAGGATGGGTTTGAGGGGACAACAATTATAATTATTGGACATTTCAGACAAAAAAAAAATCACCCAAGAAAAGAATACTTTTTTGCATAAAATTAAGAATTCATAAAATTTGTAGAAAATGGCCCTGTGACAATTTGACATCACAAAGTAGGACTGGAATGGCTTCTCCAAATGCAAAACACGAGACAATGGCTAATACCTCTAAAATTTGCATGGCTGGGAGGAAGTGTTGCTAGACTGTCTCTGCTATGAAGGGCAAAGTAATTCCACATTGTGTAGAAATTTGTTCCGAATTTATCAAAGACACCGTAGTCAAAGCACCTAATTTTTAATTGGCATCTTCAAGCTTGGTAAAAAGAGTTCTGTTTGAAGTTCTGTATTATGAACAAAGCCTACTTTTAGTGAAATAGAACTGCCTCACAGGCACTGCAGGCTAAAGCAACAACAGCAACTAAGCAAACTGTCAGCCTAAGCACAAAAACCCCACCACTGCCACCACCTCAAACTCTGAGCTTCATGGTCCAAGGACACAGAGATAAACAGAATGAAGTTATTTTAAGACTGGCAGAAGTTCCATCTCAAAAACTAGGAACAAGCTCTTAAACTGTGGATGGATTCTAAACACTTAGACTAAGTAACCAGAAGAAATACACTTAATCCATTCAGGTTATGCCTACATGAAGGAGGAATGCAACTGGAGTGCGTCTGCAGGGCACAACAGTAGGTGCTGCAGTACTGGTGCCCACACTATATGCATTTCACAATTTGTGCCACCTGTAGTCCGACTACATGGACTAACAGCCCACTAATGAAGAAGTTCATTCAGAGTACACCTTCTGGTTCAGTTTCATTTGAAAGGAGCCCAGTTTGCGCGACTTGCTCTTTTGGAGTAAGCACATTAAACGGCTCTTATAAAGTGCTCTCTACTGATCTAAACTAATACACCGGAGCAGACATACTCTGAGAAGACAACAATGGGCATATGGCCACGTCCTGTTCTCTCTATACACTTTACCTTTTGTGATAAGTAGAGTTTGTGGATCATACAGGAAACAGATTAATTTGGATCTCATCGATGGAGTAAACCAGTTCTGCTCTATGGGCGTTACCATCATAGTCTCCACAACCTAAGCCTTCCTTAAAAGAATTAACATTAAAGATGCAAGGTAAGAGGAAGCTTTCAAGCATTTAAATCTGGTTCAGTGACGTGATAATGCTCCCTACCACATTATCTAGAACAGCTATTTAAACATAGCTCATGGTCACCAACAATTCCTGCTGACCACTGCAGGGCTAAGAAACTCTCTCTGCTGCAAAAGCATGGGCAAGATCTCTCCAAACACTAAAGAATGGTACTAAACATATTCCTACACAGGCAGAGTCCCACTTTCAAAAAACTTTCTTCTCTCACCTGGCATCAGTGTTACGAACATGGATTGTTTCAGCCTTAAGAAAATACAAAGTTGTGTCAGGAACACAAAGCAGATCTTTTTTACCGAAGTGAAAGCATATGTTATTTACTGCAATCTTACACAAAAGTTCCAGGTACTGGCTTTCAATCTACCTCCTAAAACTGATTTGTAACACTGTGAAGAGACTGAAAAGACCTAGGCCCATCTGAAACTCTAAGGAGACTGTTCAACCTTCAATTAAAAAGCTGAACTCCAGTAACACCAAATCAGAGAGACTGCAGAACCTGGAGCGATTTCAGAAAATAATTATCTAATTTTCAATGATTCATGTTTAAATGCAGTGATAGAAGCGGCACTCTTAGCCTTCATTTACAGTTAAGGTTGTTCAGGCTTGTTAAGGCTGTGTGTGGTGAGTTGGTCAAGTAGATATCGTTTTGCTTCACTTTTGGTATAGTTTGAAAGAGCTACATAGACACTACCATCAAACACTGAAAGGGTAACAGCTAAAAAAACCAAACCCCAAACCAAAACCAAATGAGCTATACTAGTAACATTTAGTAAAGTTGGAAATTCTAACGTATCCCTTGCTTACTTCTATTGTTTTTGAAGGGACCCTAGTGACAGAAATTTAGCTACCTCCAGTACGGCACTTTCTCAAGAGTTCAAGAATGAAATCACTGTTGTGGCATGTAATAAATAGCAACTGTCGATGCAAACTCAAAACGCTTACAGGCTTTTTCAAAAAATATTTTTCAAGACATAGAGTTAATAGAACATTTTTAAATGATGAATAAAGAAAAGTGACAAGACCTTAAACATAATTCAAAGTCATCGCTGTGGATTTCCAAGTCTCTTTGAGTTCTTTCTGAATATTTTAGGGCAACAGTGCTGGAAATACTTCAAACCTTTGTATGCTAATAAATCAAGCAGATCTGAGCCCTCTGATGCAGATGCAATGAAAAAGTATTGCAATGCTTGAATAAAAAGCACACTCATCTGCAAATAGAGATGTCTTCTAGAGATAATGATCATGTAGCTAATTTCCACAGGTTACATGATTCTACCCCTTTGTCCCTTCTGCAGATTGGCTAACACATTATGAGACACCCACGGGCCGCAACGTATTTCCTGAAAAGAGAATATTTAAGTATGAAGCATGTACTATTGGAAGTTGAGACTTAAATGAGAACACCAGAAAGTGCTGGGAAAGGATAATGACGCTTGCCAATCTTACTGACTTTTTGTCTTCAGAGGCCTTTACAAGATCTCACAACTATATCCAGAACTCACTTCTCAAGCTTTATATACTGGGGAGGATTTGAAAAAGGTTCCCAAAAGCGTGCACTGATTCAATGTACTACACCATATGTTACTTGAACCAAGTCTTTAAGGAAACACGACATACATTTTTATTATCTCAGTTTGGTAAAATTATGTCTTTATTCATTTTTAAATGCTGTTATGCCACAATAATAGCATGACAACCTCAATTTCTTTAGGTGACTGTTATCAAATACAACCACCTTCCTTCTCAGTAAAACCAGTCTTTTTCTATATAACTATAGTGAAATTATTGTCCACTATTTTGTCTTTTAAACTTCATTTTTAACAAAGCATCGCAGTAAGTCACCACTGCTACAGATCCCAAATTGGTTTAGGTTTTAAGCAGAAGTTTTCCTTTTTTCCCTTCAAGCTCAGCGGGTGGTTGGATTGCCACTGAGGTTAATTCCAATTAAAACAGATGACGAATTCATCTTGCTACTGCAGTGGGAGCTCACTGCAGACACCATCTGTAGTGTAAAACAGGATAAATGCCAAAGCAAACCAAGAGACAAATTACTTTGCCTGTCACATCCTGCTGCATCACCCAGTGTAGAGATGTAAAAAACCCTCTTCACAATTATTTTTCCCTTGTTAGAAAGTGCAACCTCTTAATATTACCGCTATGAGTAACTGGCCAACTTGCTATGCAGAGAGGTATACACAGTTATTACTCCAATGTAGATTAACAGTCCCACAGGTTATTCAGAAGCATAAAGTTATGCTGTTAAGAATAAATAAAAATAAGGCCAAAACAGGCTGCTGTACTACCTTCATACTCAAGTTAGTTCACTCAGTTTTACAGTTAGCTGCAGTCAACAGTATACCCCATGTCTATCCTTGCTTTCAATTTCAGATCCCAAGATTCATTCATTCATTTATATCTAACATCTTGCTATCTGTCCACTACAAAAATGAAATACTTTGTGATAACTTAGTGCTCTTCCAGATTTTTCATCTGCTTTTTAGTTAGATTTGAAGACTCACTCTCAAACACAAGGTAGAAATCCTGTACCTCTCTCACAGCCCTTCCTGCACACTGGCCTATACTGCCCTCTTCCAACTGTATCAGACCTTCTGTACCATCTTTAGCAGCCTCTAACCTTCATTCCCTCTTGTATTAAGGGTACTTTCTTTTAGTATACAGATTTCAACGCTCTTGAACCTCAGTTCCATCAGCTTCAAAGCATCCTCTTACAGTCACGACAAACTGGGATGAGCAGAGCCTTGCCTATGTTTCAGTGGATACCAGGTACAATTATATACGCGTGTTTCATCACGGAAAGAGGAATACTGAAGAACAGCATGTGCTGCACCACTTAATATGAAGCTGTGCTGCCCTTCTCTACCCGGTGATAATTCTTGAGTTAGAGAAGCTTCCCTACTTCAGTAACAGACCAGAGAAGGGGGAGAGTGCACTGAGACAAGCCACAATTCATATGTCAATTTCTTCACTGGGCTGGAAACTCAAGCAGTACCATTTTAGTATGTTTCTTATGAACCTTTCTTAAAAGCTCTGCAAACATTTCAGTGTATTAACAGTGCAAAAACCCCTGCCTTCCAGATATTCCATAATTATGCAGTTAATATTATAAAAAAAGACACAAGATCATTTATTGCCTAATTGAAAATATTTCACACACACAGAGACACACACTTAACTGACCTTGGAGGGATTGAATGGCATCCCTAAATATGAAGAGCCTCTGAATCCACAGCGATTCAAGTTTGAGCCTGGAAAAGATAAAAAAATAAAGACTCAACTAACTTGCTTTGCTGAAACACTCATTATAAACTATAATTCTTTAGTCAAGACCAAGACCTGTTAGTTGAACACTATTCACAGTATTACTAGAGTTTGCATGTATCTTTCAGTATGTTCCCGACCTCAGTTTGTTATCACTCTGATTAACAGAAGAAAAAAACTCAAAGACAACCACAAGCAAACTTGATACTGCTATAATGACAAAGCAACAGATTTTTTTGATTTGGCGGAAATAGAGAGTTTGTATCAGCACAGAATTGTCTTCCATGCTCACCAAAAAAAAACCCAACCAAAAACAAACAAAAAAAACCCCCCAAACCCAAAAAAAGAAGACTGCTCCCCTGGAAAAATGCCCAGAGTTAACAGATTTTTCTTCCTTTCTGGATTCCTGCCTGGTAATACCGTCTGTTCCCAAGCAGAATTGTTTTAAGTTACTTTGCAACATGTACAAGGACAAACAAACTGTTGGCAGTTTTAAGCTAGCACTGATCTAATGCAATACTGTCAGAGTGAAAGATTTAAAACTATGTAAAAGGCAAATTTTTAATTGAAGCCATTTTTCTCTCACCCAAAACACAGGTACAAGAACATTGTAGCTAGCAAAGATTTCTGTTAGTGATTCAGTACAATTTGTTTTAAATGTGTCACAGCACCAGAGCATGCAGCATAAAGAAGCATGCAACACACACTGTCTAGAGCTAAGTACGGGTTTGCAGGGCCCAAATCTGCTTCTGCATGGCAAAAATTCAATTACTTTACTCCCTAGCCTCTGAAAGTAAAAGCCTAATGAGTGCCATAGTTCAACAGCACTTGTTCTGTTCTCTTCCCCGTTTGTTTGTTGGTTTTTTTTTTTTTCCGGCTCTTCAGACTTTAATCTAAAAATCCTCAAGGAGATTAGGGAAAATTGCCAGATTAACCAAATAATAATAGTTATAAAGCTGAAAGTCCTGAAAAACATCACTATGCAACGTGGTCTACCATTTCTGGTGTCGTTTATCAGCACATTAGCTTCTACTTTTAAATACCTTCTGCATGTATGCAACATTTAAACAAGAAGCTTTTATTAGTCTAAGTACTTCAGTGTGGTTAAAGTATGCAAGTTTCTCTCCCAGAGAAGTCTTTGGATCTAACTTACATGGAGTGAACCACCTGTAATTCTCCACTTTTCCACCTTTCAATCAAAAGTATGTTTTAATGATTCTACATGTGTAATGAAAGTCATTTCAGCCTGCACTAAAAACTGGTCTGCTGTAGTCATACCCACAAAGAGGAAACAGAAAGAGTATCTGTATTTGTAGACAAAAAATGCATAACTTATAATTTGTTACAATCTAAATCTTCTCAGCAAAGAACATTTGTCTGTTATTTCCTGGAGTCAAGGACTTGCATTTTATGTTGCAACAGGTTCTGGAAAGCTCAATAAATATTAGTTTTAAGGACTACACTTAAGGTCCTGAAGGACACTGCCCCAAAAGTATCACAATTTGAAGAATGACACGATGTGAATGATCAGTAAAAGGAGCACTAGAATTCCTACTTCTTAAATACCAGATTTCCTAGGTGACAGTGTGGAAAAAATCACCATTCACTTAGCCCATTTGACTCTGTGTCTTAAGTGCTTAAGTAAACTATGATATTCACTTTGAAATGGCACTAATGTGGAAACTCTTCATCCAGAAAACAGTTGCTAGCCTACCAGCACACAGCTGTTCTGGCCTGCTGCAAATGAAAACATGCTACAATTAGGACAGCTCTGCAGTCAAACAGAACTCAGCTGCTAGTTGCTAGATGGAAGGATTCATACCAGAAAGACTGATACCCATCATCGGCCTTTTAGACCGTAGCTTATAATTCATTATCAAGGTAGAAATGGCAGTATGAAACCCAAGTGCAGTGTGCTGTTAGTGGGTCACTTTGATTGGCTTCTGACTTGATAGCTGCTATGAAAAAGAGAGATTAAAAATAAAGTACATGAATGAAATCAGGATCTATTATTCCCTTTATCTGTTCATTTTTTCATGTAGTATTTTAAAACTTTTCTTGTACTACTAAACTGCTACCAACTAAAACCCAGCACTGGTATTTTTAAAATGCTAGATTTTTAACTGTATTGCTATCATCGATTTAAAATCTATTTTGACTCTATGTCAGTGACTTCTTATCTCCCATCCTAGACTTTACACACTGGCTCCTAGGAGAAACAGAACAACAGCATAGCTCTTCAATGCCCTTACTGCTGCATAATCTTTAAAGGGAATTTTATCCCCTCCTTTAAACAAAAAAACTTTGTAATTAATGTGCATGCAATAGATGCTTCCTAGACCTTCAGCATTACAAGTGAATTGCTAAATTTCTAGTTACAATTCTTGAACTAAAAAATAGAAAGCTGAGCTAATAAAGGAAGTGTTAAAACAGGAAGTGAAAACAGCTCGTTTCTAACCAGATGACTACGGCATATTGACATCATGTCTCAAATTTTTTTTTTAGCTTCCTGTGAACATACAAGTTCAAAACCAAATGGGAACCAAAAGGGAATTGGGGAAAAAACACTGTCTTTCAGTTTATGCACATCACCTTATCCTCTGTGAAGCTGGTTTTACTATTTTATTGTAAAGTACTTGTACTTCTTATCTTACCTAATAGCTTAGTAGTGCTAATCAAATTCTTGCCTACTTTCCTGAATCACAAACAGCCTGTCAGAATCAGAAACAGAATTAGAAATTAAACATAACCTAATTAAAAGTATATGACTATAGTTTATGTCCCTCGTAAAAAATTGTTGGAGTGACCAGTTCAGCTCCAGCACAGTATGCTGAAGCATCAAGTACACCTGCAGTTATGAAATGGTACCACCTAGTGTTCACTTTTAGAATTAAGCATATTTACCCACTTCCTTGAAAAGCTCAGGACAGAGTAAAAAGTAATAAACCTTTCATCAACCACTGCATGACTATTGCAAATTGAACAAAACACACTGGGGAAAAAACTTTTCACGTTTGACAACGAAACTAAAGAAAACTGACCCTTTTCCAAACCAAAAGACTCCACACAAATCAAGAGCTGAGACTTTCCAGTGTAGAAAACCACGTTACTTATGGGTGCATAGGCCAGAAAGTCCTTAAGCCATGTAATGGAGCTTCAAGTGATGACCACAGACAGCTTATTCTGGGAGCTATTTTTTTTTAAGGACAGGACATTTTTGTTATTTATCTTTTATGATTTGTCTTCTGTGGGAAGATTGCTAACTTTTACCACTACTTCTTCCAATCAGGTTTCTCTCATTCCAGGGCTTTTCCCTTTTTGCTAAGTACAGAAGCAAGCTTACACACATCATTAGTATCGTAATTAAAAAAAAAAAAAATAATCATAGCTTTAACATAGGCTGACACCATCAGTACATCCAGATAAAAGTAAGCATAAGCAATTTTTACTGAACTAGGGCTAAAAAATATTCTTATAAATCAAAGCACTAGAATATGTCATAAAATGCAAAGTTGCATTCTCTAAAACAGAAGTCTATTATACATCCAGATAAATACTTCAAATGTAGCCATTGAAGAAGGTTCTGTTAGGAGGAAAATTCATATTTCTGCTCAAGAAACTCATGATCAGAAAGCTCATATGTAACAATGATGTCAAAAACAGTCAATGACATTTTAGCTGTTCTTCTCAGTACTGACACACAAGTAAAGAAGAAGGAGTCATTATTACAAATCTAAATTTAGACTTTGGCAGAAGAAAGTTTTAGGTCCCTGATGTAGTGTAATGGTTTTCAGCCTGCTATGCATGGGTCTTGGGGGTTCAGACCCACAAATGAAGTATGTCTCAGCTCTCCTTTTGGTGCCATTTCTTAGTACTGCAAAGTCAGTGAAGCATCCAGCTGTCAAAAAGTAGAATCTTCTTCCCTCTCCCTTACTGGGCTGGCACTAGCACTCCCAGCCAACAGTTCACCAAAGCAACACAAAGCTAACCTTCTGTTAGGTAAATAAATGCATGCTTTTCTACCACTTTAACAAGCTAAACCAGCTCTCAAGCACAGTCAAACAAGTGCCAGTGTTGCTGTGGGGTAGGATGGTGGATGAATATGGCCAAGGAGTGTGCCTCCACTGTCTGTCTACAATTAGATTACTTGAGTACAGAGCTCTGGATTCACTCTCTTTCAAAAGTGCTGTACTGGATTTATATGTGACCTACAAGAAACTGGGACAGCTCCTTCTCACATCGCTAAGAGTTGCACTTTAACATAGTTAGAGTAAATTTGAAATTCTGCCTGGGAGCTGTTTTATGAGAGGAGAGACAGTAAAGCTCTGTGTAGTGGGTGACCCTGGCTGGACACCAGGTGCCCACCAATCACTATCCTCAGCTGGACAGGGGAAAGACATATAACAAAGGGCTCAGGGGTTAAGATAAGGACAGGGAGGGATCACTCAACCAATTACTGTCACGGGAAAGACAGACTCAACTTGGGGAAAATTAACTTAATTTATTGCCAATCAACCAGAGTAGGGTAATGGGAAATAAAACCAAATCTCAAAACACCTTCCCTCCACCCCTCCCTTCTTCCCGGGCACAGCTTCACTCCCAGATTCTCTACCTACACCCTCCCCAGCAGCACAGGGGGACGGGGAACAGGGGTTGGGGTCAGTTCATCACACCTTGTCTCTACCGCTCCTTCCTCCTCAGGGGCAGGACTCCTCACACTCTTCCCCTGCTCCAGCATGGGGTCCCTCCCACCGGAGACAGTCCTCCACGGATTTCTCCAATGTGGGTCCTTCCCACAGGCTGCAGTTGTCACAAACTGCTCCAGCGTGGGTCCCGTCCACGGGCTGCAGTCCTTCAGGCACACACTGCTCCAGCGTGGGTCCCCTGCAGGGTCACAAGTCCTGCCAGAAAACCTGCTCCAGCGTGGGCTCCTCTCTCCATGGGGCCACAGGTCCTGCCAGGACCCTGCTCCAGCATGGGCTTCCCA